AACGGGTTGGACATCAGGACCACAACGTACTCTCGGACATTCTCGGAGAGCCCATCCCGTGCACATGCAGATGCAAACGGAGAGAGAGGGCGGTGGAGCAAGTGCGGTTAGATGACAGCATCCTGGGAGTCTGGGTGAACAACATATAGGAATTCTTTGTACTGTTTTTGCAACTTTTTTATGTCTGAGATTATCTCAAAAAAGTTTTTTAAAGCATTCAGTGTCTTTCAACATTATTTTTATGTTGCTGTAGTGAGTTGTGTCCCTCCAAAATTCATGTCCACATAGAACCTCAGAATGTGACCTTATCTGGACATAGTGTCTTTGCAGAGGTAATTAAGATGAGGTCACACTGGACTAGGATAGTCCCTAAATCCAATGACTGGTGGCCTTATGAGGAGACACGCACACAGAGACAAAGGGCACATGAAGACGGAAATAGAGAATGCAGTGTCACCGCTACAAGCCAAGGAACGCCAAGGATTGCTGGAAGCCACCAGAAGCTAGGAACAATGAAGAAAGAATTCCTTCCTAGAACATTCAAAGGGAGCAGGGTCCTGCCAACACCATGCTTTCTGACTTCTGGCTTCGAGAACTATGAGAGAATAAATGCGTTTTAAGCAGTCTCCCACCTGCTTGAAACAATGGCACTCTGGTCTACAAAACACCTTAGTCTGACACCCACAAGCTTCTGATGATGCTAATGGTGATAATACCATTTACTGAACATTTACTAGAAGACTAACACTGCACTAAATGCATGATATACATTGTTTCTTTTAATCTTCTAACATGTGAATACAGCAGGTTCAATGGCTAATTCTACAGGAGGGAAAGGGAAGCTTAGAGTGGTTAAGCAGCATGTACAAGATTGGACAGCTAGTAACCTGAGAAGCTAAGCATTGATTCCAGGCCGTCTGAATCCTGAGCTACGCCACCTCTGCTCCAATATTAGTTCTCCAGTCCACACACAAGTTCCCCTGACCAAAGCAAACAGGCCAGTGTCTGCCAGCACACACCCCAGCTGCCCTGAATCCACACTTCAAACCCGGCCTCAATATTACATAAATGCTTCCCATCCTGGGCCCAGGCTCTGCTCCCTACCCTCTAGGGAAGCTTTTCAGTCCACCCCCATCTGTACCGGGCCCCAGCAGTCCCTCTTCCTTCTCTAAACTCAGCCCTCATTGTACTGCTTGCTTGGTGATAAAATAACCTCAGGATACTTTGGATGTTATTTGGCTTTTAAAAAATGTGTTTGCCTCCAACTAAATGGCAAGTATTCTGCAAGCAGGTATTAATTATACATAGGCATTTGCCACATACATATCTAGACAGTGAGATTTTTTTTTCTCTAGGCAGATACCCGACAGCCCACATCAGCTTACAAGCAATGATAGCAGACACTTAACAAACACTGGCAATTGAACTACTTTTTGGTAATTGAACTACCAAAGCTAATTTGCTGACTCTTAATATGAATTGTGTATAAAATATGGCCAGCTAGGAACTGAGAGACTGGCTAACCAATTTCACCATGTCACTGTTACTCTGTGTTGCAGTAATTATCAACTGAGTAAAACCTGTTTTGTCTGATACGGTCCAAGAACATAATACGTTTTGAGCAGAAAATCAGTTTTGTAGCTTAGAGTAAAATATTGAACCTCGTGGTGGCTTAGATTTATGATGTGCCTTGGTCTCCGTACAAAGATCTGGCATGTCATATGCTCCACAGAAAAACAGGAAAAATCCATTTGTGGAATTCACCTACAAGTGCCCCAGCAATGCAAGTGCTGCTCAAGGGAGAAAGTCTAGTTTGAAAAGGTTAGCTGTATTGCACTGTGGTTAACGAGGAGATGCAGAGCACAGCACACAATCTGAGTATCAGCGGACCCAGGAGGCTGCACAAACGAAGCCGCATTCGCAGGTGAGGGGTTCATGTAAGTTTTGAATTGTTCTCTGAGATGTCAGGGGTCTACTGCAAGGGCCAGGCAGGTAACATCAGTGAGCAAGAGGAGCACTACTCAAGGAAAATAGCATCGTCAGCACACTGATAAATGCAAATGGACACTTGCCTTCAGTGTGTCGATAAGAGGGAGGACAAGGAACTGTAATGCACTGGAGCATGCACACCCCAACCCGTGGGCTACATGGTGTCAGTCGCCGCCTTGAGGGATTGATTGATTGTAGATCTCATGACTACTTCCAATTAAAAAGAAAAAAAAATGTTAGCTAGTCCATTTAAAACGAACATTGCACAAACCAAATACCTGTGCAAGCAAGGATGGGGCCCATGGCTCACTGGTTTGTTAGTGCTGGGCTGTTGTTTACATGTCTGTCTACCCTTAGACTGTGAGCTCCAGGTACCGAGAATGGCAGTTTGATAAAGAACACATGTTCCCACCGGAAAGACGAGGGCTTAGAAGTTTCAAAAAATTGGTAGGATGTAAAATGCACTCCTCAATATTTATTGCATACCCTGATGCCACCAAAGCACTGTTGTTAAGATTAGCTGAGGGGCGTGCATAATGAATAAACTGCAGTCCTGCTGTTCTCTTGAAACCTATTCTAATGAGTGAGAATGCAAAGCCTGTCACAGAATCTGGGAGGAGAGCGTCCCAACCAGGGAGGACAAGTGCTCAGGAAGAGATGTGTGTATCTGCGGGAGACAGGAGAGGTTGGTTCATGGAAGACACTGGCAAGGGGAGGCTCCCGTACAGCAGAGTCAGGGGTTTGTCTTTTATGCAGTGACATGGGAAACCATTAGGTTTATGTGTTAGAGCAACGTGTGATCAATGCTTTGAAGAGATCATTAGCTACTGTTTGAAGAATTGTGGCCAAGGACTACAGGCAGGGTAGCAATTTCTTCTGTATTTAGAACTGGGTTAGAATTATACAGAGCAGAGGTGACAGAGGCACAAGGGTCAAGAGGACACCTGGAATCAAAGTGCCCAGTGTTGTCATGCTTCATGAAAATGTTGTGCTGTTCAGAAATCACATCCAATCTCAGTGAAGCAGCGTTCTGAAACAGCTGCATTTAGGATGGTGTCCATAGGGAACAATTGAAGTAGCTGGATGTTTCCTAATGGGGTTCGCCTTGCAGGAGTAAAAATAGAGTCCCCTTATACTCCTCGAACACATATACTATACAAACCGCCGTGAGGTAAGGGTCTGTCTGCAGTCAAGAGATTGGACTTGCTAAATTACCTTAGTAGAGGCAGGAGGACCTCAGATGACATGAAAGACCATTATTTTTTTAAGGACTTAGTTCAAACAGTTCCAAATGAAGTCAAGTTGTGACTTCCAGCCACACAAATAGCTACTCTGTAGGGGATCTCAGGGATCAAGGTCCACACAGTGAACGCTGCTCTTTTCCAGTTTTCCCAGTGGGGTAAGTGATGAGTTTCTTTACCAAATCTCATGGACAGTTTCTCCAGCAAAACTACACTTCCAACATGCCTAGGCATTTAACATGATTCTTAAAACTCTGGTTAAGCCCTGGCTGGTGTAGCTCAGTGGATTGAGCGTGGGCTGAGAACCAGTGTCGCAGGTTCGATTCCCACTCAGGCCACATACCTGGGTTGCAGGCCACGGCCCCCAGCAACTACACATTGATGTTTCTCTCTCCCCCTCCCTTCCCTCTCTAAAAATAAATAAAATCTAAAAAAAAAAAAAATCTGGTTAAAAAAATCCTCGACCCTCACACTTATTTTTTACAGCCCAAGATGAATTAAGAAATAGCTCTTAGGACAACAAATATTTATTATCAAATTACCTTGTTTTGCGGAACTCTCCTGAGAGCTTTGAATTTTTGAATAATACTTCTGATGCAGGTTGTGGGCATTAATAATGGGGTTAATACCTGATGGTGTGACATTTAGAACTATAAAGCAAAACTTAGAATTTCAATCAGGAGGCATTTAAGAATTCCACTGGTCTCCTCCTCTTCTCCTCTAAAAATGAATAAATAAAATCTTAAAATTTTTTCATTGGTCTTTTTATAGAATTAGGATACCAACTGAAAAGGACAAAACTTGTTACCTTTGCTCAACAGTTAGATCTGACTTAGCGTCATGTTAAAAGTTCTGATTCGTTCACATGAGCAGCTTACTTTAGAAACAGTACTTAACACTGACCTAACATTCAATGTTACATTAGCAGACTCTGCTCTCATTTCCTTTTCCCAAAACAAAAAAAACCCTCCCGCCTAAAAACAAACAACCCCCCCCCCACACACACACACAAACACACCCTGATTTATTTCCTGGAGGGTGGGCCCATTGCAGCACAGGCTTCCCCCAACAGGTGAGTGTTCTAGAAACCCATCTGTATCAGTGTGCCAGACGGTGTTGCTGTGAGAGGCTGTGCTTGGTTTCAGTGAATTTTCTTTGAATTCTTTCAATACAGCATTTACTCTCCTCAAAATGAGCTATTTACAAGTGCACCTGCCCATACCACACTGTTTAGCAGTTTTTCACACAAAAAAAATCCCCACAAAAAAACAAAAACAGTTCCCCCACTACATGCCCCAACCTCCCCATTCACCGGATTTTGCCCCGACTTTTGTTTCCCCCAATGAAAGAAGTCCTCAAAGGGAAACATTTTGCTGATGTGGAAGAGGTGAAACAAAAAAATGGAACAAGCACTACAGGGCATTATAATTGCACTAGAAGCAACAAAATTGATTACATCAGACTGTTCTGAGCAGTGGAAAAAATGTTTTGATAGATGTATTGCATCAAATGGAGAGTATCTGAAGGTGAGTGAAGTTTAAAATTAAGAACACACAATTTTTAATAAATTGTTTTTTGGGGGTTCCCCCTTGTATATATAGGGAAGACTTTTACAATAGCTCCTACTGCAGGTCAGAACTGTTATTTCAATTAAGTCAAACTCTAGCTAATAGAGGAAATCAGTTTATCAGAAAATCAGCACAGCCATTTTACTATTAAAATTTTGCTCCTTTTAATAATTTATTTAAATAAGGTATTTTGGAGAAGCAGTTTAGAAAAACAAGATTTGTATTTTATTTCCTTGTAAAAATCTTTACACATGCAGACAAACCAGTGTTAAGAAAGTATTCACCATCATTTAAACAAATAACCACTTAAATAGAACAGTGTCTGCAATTTTATCTGTATAAAAATAAGATACATTTTTATAGAATTCACACTCCAGTTCTTATAGCAATAAACAATACACAACTATAAGTACAATTGAACCTGACCATGGTTTTCAATTAGATACTGCTAGGGCATTTTAATGTGCAAAAAAAACAAAAAACAAAACAAAAACCAAAAACAAAAAACATACTTCAAGAGAAAATGTCCTCAGTGTTTCTAGAGACCTAGAGGGTTTTAAGAAATCAAATCCTAATCAGTTTGTCTTTAATGTTCTGATTATGAGTCCATACATCACACTGAAGATAGGCAAAACCAGGAATCGATGCAGGCTCAACAGAAAGAAGTCAGCGCCTGTGCCTGCCATGTCCTGAGCGACTGCCACCATGGTGCTTGCCTTTATGGGACCTCTCAAAGGAGCGAGATCTTTCACGCCTGTCCCTATGATGTCCCCTTTCATGCCTGTGTTTCTTGGCAGCATCTGAGTGATCCCGAGACTTGCTCTGAGATCGAGAACGAGACTTTTTCCTTTTGTGACCGTGTCTATTTGAACTTTTTAAATCATCTCTGGTATGCTTGGCCTTAAGGTGAGGAGAACCATGATTATGATGTCTTCTTGGGCTTTCACTGTGACTGCGGGACCTGCTTCTTGATCTCGAGCTGTATGTTCCAGATCGACTCCGCCTATTATTGTAACTTAGATAATAAAAAATTTGAGGTTTAGATTTGATTTCTACTGGACAGATTTACTTTGGTGGTGCTCATAACAGGTTCAAAACAAAACCATCAGGCCTGTATTGACAACAGGCCAGACAGAAGACTTACTACGTTTCTCCCCCCTCACTCCTTCCCCTCCAGCCTGTATCAAACAAATCGTAAACAACTGTTTAAGATTTGGAATATATGTCTATATTCCAAAAAAAGTAATTAGCAAGTTTTATAGAATGCTCTAGATAGCTATGCTTTTTGTTGAGTATCTCCCATATTCTCAAAATAGCCACAAATAGCTAGCAATCTCACTAAAAGCTTATCAGAAGCTTCTCTGGCTATGGTCAACTTATTGGTTAATAAGTGATTATGAAACAGTCCCATATTCTAACTGAAGCCAAACAGAAAGACAATACTTTCACATCATATACCTCCACAGCACTTTGGCTAATCCCTATACTTCTCAAACAGCTCCCCCTACCCCTTTTGGCAAAAACAATACCATTAAGGTATACAAAATAAACAAAGCCCCACACATGCAGATCATACTACCAAACTCATTTTTCACAGCTACCCTTATGTGAAATGCCTCAATCTAGCCTAACTTGTTCAACTGTTTTTTAAAAAGGGTAACTTTTAGCCCTGGCTGGGTAGCTCGGTTGGTTAGAGCACTGGTCCCCTATGTCAAGGTTGCATTTTGAGTTTGATACAGCATCAACCAATGAATGCATAAATAAGTAGGACAAATTGATGTTTCTCCCCCTTCCTCTTTCTTTCTCTAGGATCAATAAATAAAATTTACAAAGAGTAACTTCTAAACACTCCAAGATTGTTTCCCTAAGAGAATCTTTACTTGTACTTACTGTCTCCTTGGAGTATGTGATCTAGAATGTGATCGTGTTCTCGACCTTGATCGACTTGCACTTCTGCTATTTCTACTCCTCTTGCTATCTTTTCTTACACTTCAAAAACAAAACAAAACCCAAACCTTAGTATTTTAGTGTTTTAGAAATTAATCACAAAAAGTTCCTCAGACCAGTTTTCTAACTCAAGTATACTCACCCATTATAAGGGCTTTTGGAAGCCTGTTGTCTGTCCTCAGGTTCTTTTTTGACCATCTTCACATTAACGGACACTGGTGACTTCTCTTCAGCCTTTACTTCTCTTGGTGATGCTTAAAAAACAACAAACAAAACCATAATAAAGACATGCTGATTATTGGATTTAACAGAGGATCAAAAGTTGTTTGTAAATATAACTCAACTTATTATGCTTTTTAAGTATGTCTTCAGTTGACTATCAAGAGTGAACAGTAACAGCTTCTTAACATCATTGTTTCCTTGCAACTCTTACATACTAAAACTTTTTAATAACCACACACCTTCAGTGTCCAACTGATTTCAATTCTGAATAAATCTTACATGGTTTAGAGGCTGGAGAAAATCCACCAAGGGTTGAAAGGGCTGGAGTTCCATCAGGATTCAATCCCTTTGCTTTCAATTTGGCTTCTTGTAAGGCTACTTTTCTTTTCTCTACTTCTTTTTCCAGCAATTCATAGTTTGGCTGTTGGAAGAAAATAAGGTTACTTTCAAAGTTTACAGTCTTAGCCCTGAGAAAAGTATTGACACAAACACGAGTAAACAGAATTACCTTTTTCCTGGTATAAAGCCTAAGGGTTTCTATGCAGATATCCTGGATTTCCTCTTCTGTAGTGCCAAAAAGAAGGAACCAGTGGGGACGAGTTGGCAATGGAATCTAACCATAAAAACAGAACGGCTTAGATTCAATTTTCACTTTTCATTAGGATGACTGAGATAAGACAACACATACTATATATACCTACCTGAAGAGCTCTAGCTGCAAGGTAGATACAAGCACATGCTATGGTCTCTGGTTGAAATCGAACAAATACATTGGTTCGAAGACTGTCATTCATATAATTCCTGAAAAATATTTTAATCATAAGCTCTGCACATAAACCAGTTCTAACATTTACATAAAATTGGAGACTCAATCTACTTTATTCTTTTTTCTTCTCATATTTATATTCACATCTTCACATTCTAGCATATAACAATTCTTAACTCAAAAATCAATGAGATAAGAATTTAACACTAGAACAATTGTCAGCTTTCCAATATATAACCAACGTCCTTTAAAATAATTGTTATTATTCCAAATAGAACTTACTTCTAAAGTTTTAGGAATACATTTCTCTGAAAAGCAATGCTTTGAAAGTAAATTCCGACATGACTAGTTCAGAAATGGTAAACCACTCCAACAATACTTCAAGCCATTAATTACTGACCATCTCTCCTTTATCCACAATGAAAATCAGTTGTCAACCCAAGTTCTTTAAAAAACTCAAAAGTACTGTGACAGGGGTAAAAAGGTAAGCACTGAGTTACATTAAGAAAGCTACTTCAAAAAATCTACATAAGGATGTGAAGAGCAATCAATATATAAAACAGCCTTGTGACTAAGTAAAAATAAAAGCAATAAACTACTTACTTCAGTTAATAAACTGCTCAACTTTTAAAGTAGTGAACCCTCCCCACAACATTCCTGGAGTATTGAAAAAAATTTACAAGTTGTTTAAAAAGTTATAGGACTGTTTCTTAAAAGCTGAAATCTGTTTTATAGAACATATATTAAAAATGTCATGCATTTTACAAAAACAGTGACTTTTCTATTATTAATATTTACTGAATCCAGAAACATGGCAGTCATATGTCCAGAGCATGTGTCTTGAGATAGTGGCTGTGCCTGGACCACAAACTCGTTTTTACTTTACCTTTAAACAAGCCAGCAATTCCAAATCACACATCTGCATCTCTCAAGTCCAAGTTCTAAAGAGCTTATATTAATAACTCTTTTAAAAATCATGTATTCCCAGCCCTGGCTGGTGTAGCTCAGTGGATTGAGCGTGGGCTGCAAACCCAAGTGTTGCAGGTTCGATTCCCAGTCAGGCCACATACCTGAGTTGCAGGCCACGACCCCCAGCAACCGCACATTGATATTTCTCTCTTTTTCTCCCTCCCTTCCCTCTCTAAAAATAAATAAATAAAATCTTAAAAACAAAAACATGTATTCCTGCCCTGGCTGGTGTGGCTCAGTGGACTGAGTGCCAGCCTGTGAACCAAATGTTCCCTGGTTTGATTCCCAGTGAGGGTGCATGCCTGGGTTGTGGGGCCAGGACCCCAAAAGGGGGAGTGCGAGAAATAACCACACAGTGATATTTTTCTCCCTTTCTCCCCACCTTCCCCTCTAAAAATAAATAAAATCTTAAAAATAAAAAAAAAAACAACACTTAATTCTGTTATTGTCTGCAACAGCCCAGCAGCTATAAATTCAACCAGTATGGAAACGATGCCCACTTTAAGCTACAAGCTGTAGTTTCCTTTGGTAAAATTCATGCTATACATACTGAAAATAGAAATCTAGTCAAACTCTTCACAAAAAATTTACTTAATTCATAATGGCTGGATAACAAATCTATCAAAAAATGAGCTATTCATTTTGATAGTTACAGGTACACATTAAATACATAGGCATGTTGAGTAGTTACTTCTAGAAGCAAATATACAAATCCTTTTGACACCCCGACAGAACTAGAAGATGCTGCCAGATGGATATGGACCACTTCAGTGAATCTCGGATGAGAGCTTGCACTGGATTGGCTGGAGAGCAGGGCAGCCAATCAGGCCATCCTGAGGTCATGGGTTGAAGTGCAGAGGGCAGAGTTCTATGACTTACCATCATGGACTACCCTTTAATTAAAGAGTAGAAAAAAGAACAAAGTTAAATTGAGTTCTCCATTAAAAGTAATTAGTCAAGCCAAGAAAACAGGAAGCAGAAATAAGCTTTATTTACCTTTTGGTTAAAAAACAAAAAAAAACAAAAAGCACGAAAAGAAACTCATCTCATTATTTTGGAAAGGGAAAATGAAACTTACTTTATTTCTGCTTCTGTTTTCCTGGCTAAGAAAGAAATGTAAATAAAGCAACTTACCAGGCAGTTTGAACCAGGGTTTGATTACGTTCACATTCTAAGACTTGTAAATACATAACAATGATCTGAAGGACAAGGGGAAAAAAACCTCAATTTAGCACATCATTGGTTCTTTCAGAGTACATAGTTCAATGAATATAAATAACTGAAAATGTTAGGTCCAAGCTTTAATTCTTCTATAAACTGTAAATGTATCTGAGTCAACGTGGGTTATTATGCTACCAGGTTTCACAAAAATTATTTTTAAAAATGTTTCAAAATTGTACAGAAAAAATTGAGTTAATACAATGAAAATACCTATTTTTTTCATAATTGCTATGTGGTAGGCACTGTGTCCTGCGAACAAATTAAAGCTAAAAGACCACAGCATTTAATTTCCCAACATACAATTCTCCATGTCCCACAACCCTACAGACTGTATGTTTTTAGGGTTATACAATGGGTACAATACATATCTCATAATACTCTGAGTGGGCATTATTTTAAGTAGTTAAACACTACTTTCACAATGAAGCTCATCATACTACATACAACTAACTTTACCACAGTTCAGATGAGGCATTTCAGGACCTTATTACATCACTCCCATTTTACAATATTAGAGATGTGAAATCTAAGAACAGAGTTATCTGTCAAAGTCACACACTAATGGCAGAGACAAGTTTCTACTGCAGACAGTCCTGCCCTCAGAAGGAGCTATTACTTTGCTGATCACATTCAAGCCAAGAGTTGCTAGAGAAACCTATAAACATTCAGTAACAGTGAGCAGCCACGCTTTGGAAATTTTACTATGCAACAGGTAGCATGCCAGGTTCTTTTGTGCGCACACACACACAAACACAATTTATTCCTTGGCATTTCATCATCTGTTTGTAGGTAGGGAAAACTGGGTTAACCAGAGAGACAAGAAGAGCTTATCTATGCCTACACCATAAAGAGTGAAGATGTGAACCCCCGTCTTTCTGACTCCTGTTTTTCTGAAAGATTTCAATATCCAAAAGGAATGCCTTTAAAAGTCACAGTTAACTCTCAAATATAAACATAAATTCATATAAAATAAAATTTTAATAAAATCCTAATACTTACGAATATAATTTCTGTATCCTACAACTCACCTTATGGGGATGCTTGACATGAACACAAAATCCCAACTCCTTTAGCACCCTCCTTTCTGCCTTGATAACTTGATTTTTGGTGTTAATGTAGTTCTGATCAAGGATCAGGGGGCTTGGAGTCCTATAGTTTGTAAGAAATAAAATCAAAAATGTTTTGCACATCCAAAAAATTTTATTTGTGGCATCTCCGTTTTCCCTTCCAACCAACTATTGGCAACAGAAACCAGCTTTTTAAACTCCTGCAAACAAGTTAAGGCATTAATCTTGTGCTGTCCAAGTTATGCTAATTAAGTATATATACCTTTCTAAATTCCTATAGAAACTAACTCAACCCTGCAATGAAAAGAATTCACTCTAATTCTCTTGGATTTATCCTTGTTGGTTTCTCATATGGGTATTATGGAAATATCTATATATACATAGATAGATATAAATACAGATTAACTTAAGCAATACCTTGATTATCACAAATCACAAATTGAGTGTTCGTCTCCTAACTCAAGTGACAAAACAAATGTGCCTTTGAAAAGATTTACTCTAAGACCTTGTAAGATTAAAAATGATTTTACTTATTTTATAAAATACCAACTCTTTGTTACTTATGACCAAAATTAAAATTAGGTGAAAAAATGGTGGGTAGTTTATCCAGATTTCCTCAAAATGGGCAATTTGTTTAAACAAATTTTTCTAAGAAGCTTATCTCTGTTAAGAAAACTTGCAAACTGAAGATTTAGTTCAATTATCAAGTTGTAAAATTCTATGAGATTCGAAACTCAAAGTGATCAATTAAAGCCATGCCTAAATTTGATTGAGCTGTACTTATTGGGCAGTATGTTTAGCATACAATGCAAGGGCAAGACCATAACGAGAGAACCAGAACCATACTCAAGGGTCTCTGTGACAGATTAAATTTTGATAGCTTCCAAAGTTATTATGCAGAGGCTATAATTCAATCAGTGGTTCAATGCTTTAGAAATAGCACATTCAATTAAAAGCCTATCTTATTTAAGTCTTGAAATTAAAACTGGTTTCTTACTTTTATTTGAACTTTAATGATCAACAGTGGCTTCTTACAGAGAATTTTTTTGATCAGGACTTGGACTTTCGTGTAAAAGCCCATTAAGATGTCCTAATGTCCTTCATTTGATACACTTTTAGATCCAAGCAACAAATAATACATTTTTGTTGATGTATATATATATATATGTGTGTGTGTGTATATATATATATATCATATATGTGGGGGGGCATGTGTGTATGTGTAGAACATTTAAATACCTTCCCTATACTCAATTCATTTTCAGTCAAAATATTCTCGAGTTTTTTAAGAGTCATTCTGAATATTACCCCAACTCACAACTCCTTTTACCGTGCATAGCAAATCCAGAAAAATGTAAGCTCATACTTCAAAATCAAAAACCAACTTAAATACATCCACTTGAAGATTAAAAAACAATCTGAAATAAGCTGCATTAACGACTTCTGTATTGACATGTTATCAGAGTAGAAATCATTTCCTTATTTTCTCACATTTAAATGAAAACCAGAATGCCTACTAGACTATTTCAAGTTATTCTATTTTTTTTTGTCAGATTATATTAAACAAGACAAAAGTTGACAAAGTTGACAAAATGGAAAACAGCTGTTTCTCAGGTTACCAATGCTGAAAATGACCTTCACTCAGATCAGTTCCTGTTACAGATACGCAAAGGTGTGAGGAATGAGGCCACCAACTGGAGGGGAGGTTGATTTCTAGTACAGTATCACAATGAATCCATTTTTATCAGGACAATAAGCTACAAGTTAACTGCTCTTTGGAAGGAAAAATCAAATTCAACTCACATGAGAGCAATAAATGTACATATGAAACCATTTCCCAAAGATATTAAGGGTTAAGAGTTTTCAGGTTTCGTAACAGGAAATTTGGAAATAAGTTAAATCCACCTCAGACTCTTACTGATGATTAGCTATCTAATGGTCCTCCTTCAGAAGGCATTAGGACAGAGGACACCGTTGGTGCATACCACTTTAACTCTTAACCCACTGCAATTCTGACAGCAAAACTGCACCATGAGAATCTGTATAAAAAAATAAAATCCACTAAAAGCACTTTTGTCTCATTTTTACCCTATTTATGTTGAGCAAGCTCAGTCTCTTATACCTCTTACTAAGCTTGCTTTAAGAGTTGCCTGCAAATTGTTAAAATTCATTTTTCTTGTATTTAACCAGCTACACATTTGAATTACAACTACTACCTGGTGCCCAATCAGGCTTAATTATTCATTAACCCTGCTTAAATGAATTGTTATTTTCCCTTTACTCTGCCACTATCTTTACTAAACCTTTTTTTATTTCAACATCCCATTAACATCAAATGATTCAAGAAACCAAATCCATTATCCATGATTAATTTAACTACATACTCAACTTCTTATTTAGGCCTACTATTATATGCAGTTTTTGGAATTAACTTTATGAGTGCATAATCTAACACCTTCATTTTGTTCAGAGTAGGTTTTACCTCACAAATCAAGGAAGGCTCAATAAACATGTAATTTACCTTATAAAGATTCTGTGGAATAAAAACACATTGTCCAGATAAATCAGCAAGAAAAGGTTCAGGAAAACTGCCTAAGCCAAATGGTTTATTTATATTAACAATGTATCAGTTAGTACTTTCTGTAGCAACAAGCACATTAAATTGAATTAAGGTTTGCTAGAATGTCTTCCTTTCCAATTAGGTATACTTTCCCTTCCAATAAAAGTTTGAAGAGGGGCATTTTAAATCTCTTAAAAAGAAACCATCTATTCAGAGAGAAAAAAATATTCATTATCAACAAACAACCAAACCTGACTCTACTTCCCCAGTTTTTAAGTTCATCACATTTTTCAAATTAATTTATATGAAAACAATAATTCCCAAATTTTAGTCTTAATAGGAAATCTTGGGCTTTGGTCATTGGAAGTTTATTATCTGGCCCCTCAGAATAGCAATTTTTCCTTTACCATGATTTAGTTAAAACACATGTTGAAAAAAAAAAAAGGATCGGAGGCCAAAACATGGTTAAGTTTTACTTATGCAGTGTAAGGACCTAGACAATTTGGAACTAGTTCTTCAAGGAACTACTAAAATGAGATGAGTGGTTTAGAGGGAGGTAGATTGCTGCTCAATACCCAGAAATTTGCAATGCTTCTTCAAAGGACCCCCCCCTTTTTTTTCAGCAGTATCAAACAAACTGAAGACCACCTTAAGAGGCACAAAAATAAGCTGCAAAGGGAGGTCTGACTAAATAACAAGATCACATAAGACTCTTCCAACTTTCACCCATGATCTACGTACATGGTGAAAATACCTCACCACATGTACCAGTCTGAAAACTTTTCTTCTTCAGACAAACAAGTCTTACAGTATGAATGTGGGCTCCTTAAAACTACAGAAAACCCTTAATTTGCTGGGAACATGTTGCACCCCAAAAGCAAGTAATTGGCAACTATTAAAATGGAAAAGTAACCTTCCTTTAAATTCAGCCACTTATTCTTTACTCTGAGCTTAAAAGAATTACCAAACAAACCCCCCCAAACAAAATAAAAACCCACAAAAACAAACAAAACAAACCAACCCTCCCACCCCAAAAATCAAAGAGGAAATAAGTCAAAAAGTCCAGGATGTCACTTGGGCTTGGTACTTTGTAAAACCTGATCTGATGATTCTGATGTGTTGGCAGGACAGAACAATAACCTAAACACTACAAAATGATGCCTCCTTTTAATTTCCCAAGTTCACACTACAATTTAAAGGTTTTTATAAACTATACTAAAATAATAACATTAAAATAAACTGGTAAGCCCTGGCCAGAGTTCAGTGAATTTCAGCTTCATCCCAATCAATACACCAAGGTTGTGGGTTTGATCCACAGTCAGGGCACATACAAGAATCAACCAATGAATGTATAAATAAGTGGAACAACAAATTGATGTTTCTCTCCCCCACCCCTTCCTCTCTTTTTAAAATCAATCAATAAAGAAATTTTTAATAAACTGATATTTTAGCTAACTAAAGTATAATACTAATAATACTTTCTAACACCATTATCCAAAGAAAATTAACTAAATTACAGTTTGAATAACTTGGACAGCAAAGACTAAAGCTTATAACAAGAAACAGGAGTTTTTCTAAATGGTTCACCAGTGGCCAACCTGTTAGTCCCCGATTCCAGTGACCTATTCTCAGAGCACTGGCTTCTCCTTGGGGATTTTCCATACTTCACTCACTGTTGCCATGACGACAGCTTCATCTCTATGTACCACTCCACATCACCCAGGCTTTGGTAAATGTAGCTGGTCGCTGTATAGTCGGTTGCAAGGGAAAAAAGAGTTGAAGTTAATAACATATACAAGTTACGTGTCTGAGTAAACTTGTTATATGCACAGAAACACTTTTACATCCTGCTTTTTAAAAAGCGGCTTCCATGCAATTAACAACTCCTTTTAAATTTCATGCTAGTCACTTCTAAGATTGAGACAAAAATCAGTCTCTTTGTAATGATTCCCCCCAAAAAACACTGTTAATCAGACACAACTGTCAGGTGAGATGTTTTAAATTCCAAGGTTTTTACAGTTAAGACCTACTCTGACATCAAAGAAGAATACTCTCACAGAAAAATTTCAAAGTAGATAATCATTTTAAGTGATAATGTAAGAGTTAGCTCAATGGTTCAAAGCATAGAAAACTTCCTTTAAGCAAGCACAGAATCCTTTGACTAGAGCTTTTTTATCAGTCATTTTGTTTTAAACACCCTAAAGAATCAGCTAGATACCTAAATAAATTTTAGCTCAGACAATAATGAATACCAAATTGAAATCTTCCCAATTTCCAGGAATTCCTCACCAAGAAGCTAAAAGATATTTTAAAGTGAAATAAAAAATTAGTCTATCCCTGGATATGGTTAGGATGAATGAGAAGAGATGGCAGAAAAAAAAATATGTAAGAAAACTGAAAAAATGTTGTGACAACTATCTGAGTAGCAATGTTTCAGACTTTGTAACTAATCTTTTCAAGGTTACTTTACTATTTGCTTGTCACTGAATAGTCCTACGATGCCAACTTACAGATTCAGCCTATAAAAACCACTCATGTAAGATACTAAATTGGCACTAACCAACACCCATCCCCCCAAACAACTTAAAATCCTTTTATAACTTCCTTTCAGACCCAGTACAGGTTTCTCTAGCATCATCACAATTACTTAAGAAGTGAAAAGAACTAGTCTACACCAACTTCTGCAGCACCTACTAGAAGTCACCTGAAGACACATTAAGTGCTGCAACCAAAATTTTGGCACAGCCTCACATGAACACGTAAGTCCACATAAAGTATTATGACACAGCCACAACACCTATAAGACACTATTTTGGTCTCTCTTTTCTTACAAGAAAAATGGCCCTTATCTACAAGGAACCCAATCGATTAAGTTATTTTTCTAACCCACTCACTGAGACTGTATCTGACCCAAACAAAATACCTGTTTAATCCCTTTGACTTCAAACTTTATCATCCTGCAGTCCTTTCAGATCCGGTATTATGCGATATATCGTAGTTCAATGTTGAGAGGTACTCTAACAACAGCCAACCTCAATTGATCAAGAGTTAACTGGGACTTCCAAGTAGAGAAACAACCTACACAAAACTTTGCCACAATATTAACTTGAACTGCAGTGTTTAAACTTCCAGCCTTCAGTTTTCCAGAGAGGGGTGGGGAAAAACAACTTACAGAATACACTCACACTTGAGCCAAACGTATTCCCTTGTTTAATCTTAAGCCACAGGACTGCTTCACAGCACTGTTAGGATTGTCCATAAATGCAACTGCCTCTATAAACTTTAGATAGCTGGTTAATTGTGGTTTCTTTCATTAAGTTATCAGTGTGCTCCTATGTGATTTTCAACACCTAAGTTTTCCTGTGCATGGGTTTTAACTTGAGAGAAAAGAATGTTTTGATGATTGGTGCACAGTACAGTAGTATCAAGAGCTGCTGTGTTCAATAATGCCAATCTTACCTTTTTCCTCTTAACTGGCGTAGGTGGTGAAATACATTAATCACATCTCTTATTCTTCTAGGTGCTTCTTCGATTTTTGATGCAAGATTAATACAAGCCATGGCAACAATCTGAAAGAACCAATAATCCAACAAAAACATTATAGCACTATCATATGTAGTTAGGAAAAAGTGCCCCTCCCCAAACCTGACAGACTTATTTTGACTAAGCAACTTCAGCACATAGTTGGACAACCTTAGGTAAAATAAAATTACAGTTGACGTTTCCAAGCCATAAGCTTACCAGCTATATAAGTGCTATGGCTTATTTTAAAATTCTAATTACCGACTTGAGGTGTCTGGATCCATTTTCTAGTTTCTAAAACACATTCCCAAAGCCCGCACTTCCTGGTGGGTGAGGACTAGGTACAAAGGCCTGAACTAACCACTTCCTTTCTGGAAAAGCTGGCTAACACTACCCCCCTCCTTCCTATTTCCGGATGAAGAAATCCTTTTTCATCCGCCCCCGCTCTGCTTACCTCGAAACTGTGTTTGACGAAAGACTTGGAGTAGAAAAAACGATGAAACAACACCTGCCCCGTTGCCATCGCCACCTGCAGACAAGAGAGAAGAACGGAAGCGCAGGGGTCAGGCGGGCCCGCACCAGGCGTCGCCGCCATTTTGTGCCGCCACTCGCTCCCCTTCCCTTCCCCGCCGCGAACAGCTAGTGAGGTTCGCCTCCCTGCCCTCCCGCCCACGGCGTGCCACGGCTCCGGGTGGGACCCGCGGCCAGAAAGCCAGAGGGGTCCTTCCACCCTGCTGGGACAGGGCGGTACGGAGATACAGCGGAGGGGGGGCACGGCGGGGAGTAGAGGAGCGCCCGGCGGCCCGGGACCGAAGCACTGACCTGCGGAAGCCGGAGGAGAATGCCAGCGGATTGGATGAGCTCGCAGCCCAGGATGCGTAAGTCCGTCTCGCTGGGCAGATCGAGCCCGTCCTGCATGGACGGGGTGGGTGAGAGCCGCTCCTCCGGAATCAGCGAGTGGTCGATGGTGAGCGAAACTTCCGAGTAGAGGCGGTCTCCGATCAGAATTCCTCCCGACGTTGTTGTAGTCGTAGTCGTCGTCCCGGAGCTGGAGCCGCCCGCGCTCGGGGCGGCCGATGAGGCTGCGGCGGCAGCGGTAGCTGTCGGGTGAGGCCCGGACGCCATAGTTTCAGCGAGCTGCACGCACGCCCAACGCAGCCGGAACCCGGAGCGAAACTAACCAGGGTTCTCGGCGCGACGGATATTCCCGTGACCGCCGCGTTCTGGGCCGCTTCACGCAGCGTGCGCTTCCGCTCTGACGTCACCACGCCGTCCCGGCCCGCGCCAACTAGTCCCAAGGAGCCTTGCCACCGCCCACCGTACCTCCTCCCGTACTGTATTGAGAGCTGTGGCTGCTATGTGGGACCCTCTGGTGACCTGGTGACCTGCTGGGGCTCCAGAGTGGTCAAGGAGGCCCTAAGTTCTTTATAGCTAAAATAGATCCAAGCCGCTTAGTTTGTAATATTTTTAGCCACAAGGATAATAAAAGAGTTTTACAAGATAACTTCTCCCGAAGTTGGAGTTGGCAAAATTTGCTATAACCCCTGCGGGATTTTGTTAATTTGTGTAGAATGTGTGACCTTTTGCTCCCTTCTCTTGCCCTCTCCTAACTTTCCGAATTTGCGAGGCGCAGCTTCAGTGTGTGCATAGGGAATCCAAGGGCCGACCTCCGCCCCCTTTGACGCCCCCTTTGACGGGTGTAAGCAGTACACCCTGCTGTCCTGTGTGGAGGACGAACTTAAAGTGACCCGCACAGAATCTGGAAAGGACTGCTACGCTGTATTTTTAAGGAACAGGAATGTGAACCACATCGGTTCCCCCAAAAATCTTGTGGATGAGCGTTTTCTATCAAAAGGCAAGGTTTAATGAGTGGGAGGATGATTGCTCTCACTGCTTGGCTTGCGAAACAGTGACAGTGCCACAGTTTTCAGTAATCTGGAAAATCCCTAGTTTCCAAAAATAGTTTTAGGATAAGAACCTTACAGAGATAATCTGATTATGCCTGAGAGTCCTGGTTAGTGCAAATAAGAGAAGTTGATCTCATTTATATTTTTTCCTGTGACATTAGCTAACGATTCCCAAAATTTCCTGAAATTTGAAGTAAAAACAATGATACTGAATGAAACTACTGGAGTCCAGAGTTAGAGAAAAAGGACTTGAACCATCTTGGTTTACTTCAACCAACTTTCTATCCCACCCTTGAATTTCTTAGAGATTGTCCAGGGATGAGATTCCCCACAACTTTTCTACTACATAGTTCCCTTGTAAGGCTTAATTTGTTTAACTATGAAAAAAGCATTGAAACTTTGATCTGTAGGGTAAAGGGGATTTGAATACATTTCTATTTTGTCAGTGATGTCCCTGAGATAGGATAGTAAGAAGCTAGGACAATTCTTTGGCCAGCGGCATGGGGAAACAGACAGCTGAACAAACTGACCCAGCAATTTACAACCAGATACAGAAGCTACCCTCCATGGAGATGACTTCTAGGCTTCAGATGTATTTCAGCTCCAGGCCCAGAAAAGCAGCAAAACCAGGTGGGCAGTGCCAGGACCAGCTGCAATGACTAATGACCCCCTGCCCTGGCATTGACCAATAAGTGAAGACCATGGTCCTGAAAGTTTACACCTGGAAAAGCTGATGAATGTTCTATTGAGATCTTCCCCTAAGACCTCCCAAACTCTAAAAACTGTCAAAATGAAGGTCCCAGCACATGCTGTCCTTCCTAGAAGCATGCTGTTCTTTTCCTTTTCCCCTCTTCCCCAACAGGCTGCACAGGATTCCCAGGAGACTTGTAACCAGGTGAGAAATGGGCAGTGGCAGCTTGTCCTTGGCTAAACCCCTGAACCTGTCTCTAAAACACTGTTTCTGCTGACTTCTCAGTGAGCCAAAGCAGCCCTACCTAGGCCCTTTCCTGTTGCTGCTTTCTTTAAAAATTTGTATTTATTTGTATTTATTCACTTTACAAAGAGAAACATCAATTTTTTGTTCCTATTATAATATAGTATGCATTCATTGTTTGCTTTCTGTATGTGCCCTGACCAGGGATTGAGCCTGCAACTGTGGAGTGTCTGGGTGATGCTCTAACTAACTGAGATACCTGGCCATGTCATCCTGTTTCTTCTTTCCTCTGACTTCCCAGTGCGCCAAAACAGCCCTGCCTAGGCCCCCACCTGCTTCTATCCTAGGCCCTTCCATGTTTCACTGTCCCCAGCTTCAATAAACATACTCTGTAAATCACTTGGACTCATGTGAAATCTTTCCTGTATGAAGTCAAGAACCTACACACTACTGGCCAGCTCGAGGCAGACCTACTCAGGGCCAGGTCCCCTTTCCACTAACATCACTAAGGCAAAACATACTCAAAAACTTCACTCTCAAAAAGCATTAAATCAACCCTACTTAGTAAAGACCGACATCAGTAGTTCTGATCCCTGGCTTCCCATTTAGAACTTCTGAAGAGTCTTTAAAGCATACCGATGAATTGATTTGGAGTGGGCCCCAACTAGTGATTTTGCCCATCCTCCAGTGATTCCAATGTTCATCCAGGGCTGAGAAACCATACTCCCAGAGAGTGTAATTTTGGTACTAGCCAAAGCACTTAATCTCTGCATGTCACTTCCCCTTTCTACTAGGCTGCTTCTAACGAAGTGTCCATCCCCAATATTCAGAAGAGATGTAAAATACTATAACAAATGTTGCAATCTTTAAAGACTAATTGATAATATGCTTTTTTTCCTGGTTCTGATAAACTACTTTGGTTGTGTAAGATAGTATCCTTGGAGAAAGTTGGGTGAATGGTACACAGGAACTCTGCTACTTTTGCGACTTCTTGTGAATCTTTGATTATTTTAAAATAAGTAAAAAAAAATAATTTCTTTTTCTTTTTAAAATTTATTGATCGATTTTGTAGAAGAGAGGGATCGATTTGTTGTTGCACTTATTTATGTATTCATTGGTTGCTTCTCGTATATGTCCTGATCAGGGATCAAACCCGCAACCTTGGTGTATCGGGATGACACTCTAACCAACTGAGCTATCCAGCCAAGGCCAAAAAACTTATAGTTAATATGCTTCATTGAACATTGAGCTTCAGTGAAATCACTGCCTATATTTGTAGTATAGGTAATTGGTTTGAGAGTAATTTATGTTTAAGGCTATTTTTAATTGAAATTTTCCCCTGTTTAGAGGGTCTCCCACCATGCTTCTCCAATAAGTTGACTTTGGTGATGTCCTGATACATAATTTTACCATCTAGGTCCATAGTTAATTCCCAAAAATTCACAAGGTGAAGTTCTAGAAAGGGGAGAGGTTATTTTGCCCCACCTGCAGTGTCTGGCAATCATTTCTAGAAGAGCAGAACCACTTAGACTATGACACAACTTTGTGTCCATTCCCCACTCCCTTCTGGCTGCACCCTAAACTATATCCAATAGATAGGGCTCTCTTCACTGTTTCTCCTTTCAGCTTCAACATAGGTGGTGGAGAAGGTAAACCAACATTTTGTTTGATGAGTTAGTGCTAAGCATTAACTATTACTTCTAATTTTAATATCTTTAAAAAAAAACACAACCCAATGACTGATCCAGAGGATGGGAAGCAATGGGTCTAGTGGCTCTGCTTCACAAGGTTACCAAAGTACAGGGGTTAAGTTTTTTTGTGTTACTGTATCTCCTCCTTGTTGGGCTTAATTTTTTTTTTTTAAATCATGGTTTGGAAGAGTCATTACATTGTGTCTAAGTTATGAAGAGAGTTATTTTTCCATGTACCTACTTCTAAACATCAACATTAAAATGGGGAAATACTAAGACCTATTCAGAGTTATAAAGAATCCAAAATTGGGAAGAATTAAGCATGTTTTAATTGTCCAAAAACATTAGTAGAAATGAGTTCAGGCAAGTAGACTCTTCCAGTGAGACTCTTCCACTAGTGACTGAATTCTTTGTCACTCAAGGAGAAAGTGAAATGATCAGTCTGTGTTTTATATAGTCTTTCTCTACAAACAGGTCCTGCAGTAGGCCCTTAGTGAACCCAAGTCTAAAAGGAAATCAGTGATGACAGCTAAAGTTGTGTTTCTACTATTTTAAGACCTGCAGGCTTCCGATAATGGCTAAAGAGGCAAACAGAATTATCAGTGGCCTCGCTGGGACTACTGATGAATCAGATTCCTGATGCTTAAATCAGTTCTCACTCCATTAGTCTCTGTAGCCTCTCTGGAGAGCGTGTTTTACATTATTTAAACTTTCAGATTCTTTAAGTGAAGTCACAATCGATATAATTTCATTAATTTCATAGCAATTGGTTATTCATCAGTAGATCAGCAGCATTTAATAACACAATACCATAAACTTGGCTAAGGGCAATGAAGTATAAATCTTCACCTTAATAAAGAGAATGACACACACAAAGGTAAATGTCAAGGTGACCAGTAAGTGCAAAAGGCAGGTAGAAAGGGATAAGTCATCATGGTTAATGTCATCGGGGAGAGTTTATAGCCCTGAGAAACTGCTAACCTGTTTACAGCAGAAATCATATAGTATCTGACTTTTTCATGAACCATTCATGTGGTTACATGACTTTTTCTTCATGTCCTTTGGCAGTTATTATGACATCACATTCTGGTCTGGTTCCTCTTGTCATTAGAACTAGTCATTCTAAAAATGATTTACATGTAATTAGTACTTGGCATCTACTCCTTGGAAAAACTTCATGATTGCACTAGCCTGGGCATCCTGCTGCTGGCTCTGCTGAGAGCTAGTTCTGAGACAGGAAACAACCCGTTTTATCACTTCTTGAAGTGAGGGAGTCTTACTCGACCCCTTGCGGGCCTACAATTCTTTGACTCTGGTCAACCAGATATCTTGAACCTCAGACTCATCTTTGGTTCTCATTTCTTCTTTATTCTATTTCAGTTACCGAGTCCTGTTGTTCCTTACTTCAAGGAAGGAAATTTTTCCTGAACCTGTCTGTTCTGTCTGCTCTACCATATCTGCGATTACCTCATGTCTGGGCTGTTACAGTGGTTTTTTAAATGATCCTGCTTCCATTTTCTCCCATCCCTCCCTCATTCTGGGAAATCTGTAAATATTGAAATGTCAGTTTCTTCACTTCACTTACTCAAATTAAAAACTTTGGAGATAAAAGATAGAGCTCAAACACCTTTTGGCAGTTGAGGCTTTCCTCAATCTAGATTTACCTTGTCATTCATTTCCTTATTGCATTACCACCTCGCCTTATCCTGCTCTCTCCCCATCAGGTGTCTGCCAGCCAGTTCAGGTGTCAGAACCCAGACCAGCCAGACCTGTCTCCTCACTAGCATGCCATTTACTTTGAGATTTCACACTTCCCCTCGTTCTGTGTCTCAAGCCTGCAACATTCTTCTACTCTCTAGTAATCAATTCCTACCAGTTTTCTGAGATCCAGATGAAGTTCTACCTCTTGCCAGGAGCCTTCCCCATCCAATCGAGCTTTCATTAATTTCCCTCACCTTTGGACTCTTTCAGAGTGCGTATGATCTCTAGTATACATTTGGACACATAATTCCATACTATTATGCATTGTTTGAGCACTTCCTGGGTGTGTCTTGACTTTTTAAAAACAGTATCATTTTTGTGTCCATTTGATATTCACAGAATCTGGCGGACACTATGTGTACGGTACTTAATCAAAACTTGTGCACTGAATTGCATGTTTTTCTCCTCTTGTCTTGCATAGGCAGCCTGGTCTTGCCTTTTCCTTTCTGTCCAGGAGCCAGTTTCATCTTCATGTGTCTGTCCTACCACCACAAGCCCTCTCTCCCTAATAGAGAGCTACAGGTCCCCATGTATCCTGTTCTCTTTGCAGCACTTTGTAGCAGATCAGCCATGTTTCTACTTCTGCACTATTCTGTATCCTTCTTACAGGGGTTAAGTAAATAGCCCATAATGTCTGTTCTGTACAGGCATGGGCTTTAGAACAGAAGGTCTGTGGGAATTGCTATTAAATAGAGAGTTGTTGGGGAATGGGAGTTCGTAAAAGCAATACCGTGAAATTGTTTGGTGTCTCAATGTGAACATAGGTTCTGGGACAGTTTTGGAGGTGTGTTCAGAAATTGGGCATGTGTGACTAAGAGTTAAGGCCAGTGCTAAACAATCAAACAAACAAACAAAACCACAGGTTTTCTTTGGAAACTAATTTAAAGTTAATATCTATTCCTCTCTTCTTTCTCATACAAGAACACTAAAGTCCAAAGAGGAGGCTACAAATAGTAGATACTCAATATTAGCTGAATGCAAATGG